CTGACAATCACAAAAGTTTTGCCAAGTCAAAACGATAGCTAAATTAAAGAAAATCAAAAATATGACTAGGAGAATTATTTATATTCTAGTAGAATCTATCAACGACTCTTTGTTTTTTTGCAAAAAGGTTTCACAGGACAAAAACGGATTTGGAATATTGAAGAACGATACCTTCAAAGATCAGAGATAACAGAGACACAAAATTTTAGAGAAAACTGTTTCCAACTATCTAATCGATATAAAAAGAATAATATGGAAACAAAACATGAAATATATGGAAGTTCCGCTTGACCGAACTGTTCTTAAAACGGAAAAAGCTGTTAAAGATAGAACCAGTAAATCATGCAAAAAAAATTAAAGCATCATTGAGCATCAATTTAACGAAAACCTTGCGATGGTTCAAGAAACTGCATTAAAAAGGCAATTTTAATGAGTTTGAGCAAAGAAAAAGACTTAAATATAATCAATACGTTTGCAAAATGGAATTTATAGTTGGGCTAGTTGTTACGCAATTATGCTAAAATGGTCAACAGTTCATGATTATTGCAAATATTTGGCAACGATGAAAGGAGATTCGAAAAAAAACCATCATCACATGCTCAAGTTCAAAATTTAATAATATCATATTTTGTGCTCGTTGTGGCTTTCTGTTGTCGATTTTTTTTCTTTAAACAAGATGTGATTATATTAACAGCATATTGGATTCGCAAGACTATAGGGGTACAAAATTTGACAATGTATTTCTTTCGGTAAAATTAATTTGCGACAAATTCCACTTTTTATCAAGCAAAGAAATCATTTTACATTGAACATGAATACGCGTATCAGTGCAAAACCCTGAAATCCCGACTGCCGTTTCATTGATCTTGATCAGTTTTTGAGAAGGTAAGTTGGCAAACTCTGACTTTTAGTCTGATAATATTAAAACTTGTGTGTTACAATTGAGTCGTGTATTTAATTGATAAAAATCAATTTGCTGCCTCAATCAATTTGAAACAATTTTTATAATGCGGGAATGCTTTCATGTGTAAAGCATAAAACGGGCAATTTGGAGAGACTAGAGAAGCGTGCATTAGGTTTCAAGTGTTAATAATCGACTATAGTATGACTATATTTACGAAAAAAGTATTAGCCTGTTAAAATCGATTATAATTTTGTAAGGTTAAAATCTAATCATATATAATACAATTATTTGATTATAATTGAGTACTTATCTATCTATTTTTCCATAAAATTATAATCGACGATTTTTATCACAATTTTTATTTCAATGTTTCTGCAAAAAATCCCTTACAACTGATTATGATCCATCTTGTTTGCCTGTTTCGTCTTCGACCTTGCATCTGAATTGCTTGTGTTTTATGCTTTTTGTAGACGTTAATTTTTGTTAAAATAGTGATTTTTAGAAAAAAATTCAAATCAATTCAAAATTACAACGTTCTTGTTTTTATTCTTTTCTTGTCCATTAAACTTGTTTCATGAAGCAGATTTTAAATTGAAGTTTTTAGTGGTGAGTTTTTGTGTTCAGATAAACCATTTTGTGACAAGATATCTCATTTTTAGAGATTCTGTCATTGATATAAAAACAATAAACCAACGGAGATAATCAAAAAATTTTCCAATTTGGCTTAAGAAAATTTTGGCAAAATAAGAGATTATAATTGAATTAAAGAGTTTTTCCATAAACTATTGTAATTAAAAATCTCGATTATATTTGTTGTATGAACTATCGATTGGACAAAAATTGACAAAAACAAATACTGGACAAAAAATGAATTGAAATAATGAAGAACGATACCCTTAAAATCAGAGATAACAGAGAAACTAAATTTTAGAGAAAACTGTTTCCAATTATTTAAATGACATAGAAAAAGAATGATGGAAACAATACATGAAGCTTATAGGAGTTCCACTTGAGCCAACTAATCTTAAATAGGAGAAAGCTGTTAAAGATAGAACCAATAAAATATGCAATAAAATTAAAGCATCAATGATCATCAATATAACGAAAACCTTGCGATGGTTCAAGAAACTGCATTAAAAAGGCAATTTTAATGAATTTGAGCAAAGAAAAAGGTTTAAATATATTCAATACGTTTCCAAAATGGAATTTATAGTTGGGCTAGTTGTCACGCAATTATGATAAAATGGTCAAGAGTTCATGATTATTGCGAATATTTGGCAAAGATGAAGGGAGATTCGAAAAAAGACCATAATTGAATCATATCGCTATTTGTGCTCGTTGTGGCTTTCTGTTGTCGATTTTTTTTCTTCAGGACAAGATGTGATTATATGAACAGCAAATTGACAAAAAAATTTTAGGTTCGCAAGACTATAAGGGTACAAAATTGACAATGTATTTCATTCGGTAAAATAAGTTCGCGACAAACTCCACTTTTCATCAAGCAAAGAAATCATTACAAATTGAACATGAGTACTGACCATAATTGGTCAGTGAGTACTGATTATTATGAACTTGAGCATTATGAACAAATTGAACATGAGTACTGACCATAATTGGTCAGTGAGTACTGACCATTATGAACTTGAGCATGTCATAATTTTGTACTATAACATTCTCAAGTTCATAAATGAATCATATCGCTATTTGTGCTCGTTGTGGCTTTCTGTTGTCGATTTTTTTTCTTCAGGACAAGATGTGATTATATGAACAGCAAATTGACAAAAAAGTTTTAGGTTCGCAAGACTATAAGGGTACAAAATTTGACAATGTATTTCATTCGGTAAAATTAGTTCGCGACAAACTCCACTTTTCATCAGGCAAAGAAATCATTACAAATTGAACATGAGTACTGGTATCAGTGCAAAACCCTGAAAATTCCAGCTGGCGTTTCATTGATCTTGATTAGTTCTTGAGAAAGTAGGTTGCCAAACTATGACTTTTAGTCTGATAATATTAAAACTTGTGTGTTACAATTAAGTCGTGTATTTAATTGATAAAAATCACTTTGCTGCCTCAATTCAATTTGAAACACTTTTCAAAATGAGGTAATTTTTTTCATGTCTAAAGCATAAAACGGGCAGTTTGGAGAGACTAGATTAGCGCGCAATAAGTTTCAAGTGTTAATAATCGACTATAGTATAACTTTATTTGCAAAAAAGAAAGAAAAAAATGATTTTTTCCAATTAAAACCAATTATAGTTTTTTAAAGTTTATATATAATGATTTATAATACAATTATTTGATTATAATTGAATACTTATCCATCTATTTTTCCATAAAATTATAATCGACTATTTTTATCTCAATTTTTATCTCAAAGTTTTAGCAAAAAAAATCCCTTATAACTGATAATGATCCCTCTTGTTTGCTTATTTTGTCTTCGACCTTGCATCTGAATTGCTTGTGTTTTATGCTTTTTGTAGACGTTGATTTATGTTTAAATGTCGATTTTCAAAACAAAATTTCAAAACAATTCAAAATTACAACGTTCTAATTTTTCTGTTTTCTTCTGTTTTAAACTTGTATTAAGCAGCAGATTTTAAGTTGAACTTTTTGGTAAAATTTTGTGTTCAAATGAACCCATTGGAGATAATTAAAATATTTTGGAATTGGGCGTGAGAAAATTTTGGCAAAATAAAAAATTATAATCGATTATAATCAATCACAATTGAATTAAAGAGTTTTTTTCATAAACTATTGTAATTAAAGATCTCGATTATAATTGTTGTATGAACTATCGATTATAAATTATTTAAATACCTAGTTTTTTTTTTATAATCAATTATAATTGTCGAAAAAACAACATTATATTCCGTTACAAGCGATTACTTGCGCCTAAACTTGGACGCCGTAGGTTACTATAAAGGTGTGCATACCCTTACGGTGAATGCAGATCAAGAAATCGATCTCCAGAGGGACCAGAGTTTTGTAAATTTGGTCTGAAAAAAACACCCCGAAAATATATGGGGAAGAGGATGTTAACTTGATCCCAGTTTTTCAAAGAAAAAAGGATTCGAGCTCATGCCGACCCAAAGTGCTCCCCTTTGTACTATTTTGAGATATCCAATTATTAGGCGCCAATATACACTAATTTTGAGGGGTGGGGGGAGCGCGCGCCAAAAAAAACGCTCATTTTTTGATCAAAATTTTTCCAAAAAGTTCCTAAAACGCCTTTTTTGGCCTGTTTTTTCAAAGTTTTGCCTGCGGCGCAGAAATTTTGTTCAAAACAAGGTCTTTTTACTGCTTGGGGAGAGCTCGGAAAATCAATTTGGTCGACCTAAAAAAAGGTCGACAAAATTTTCGAAATTTTTATATGAAAATCTGCCCCCTCCCTCGAGAAAATCCTAGATCCGCCCCTGATTGTGATCAAGTTAACTTATTTTGTTCGGTTTATAAGATACCTGTCAATTTTCTGTTATGTTTTTTTTCTGTGCACCGGGTCATTTGTTGGACAAACCAATTTTCCTGAAGCATCAAACATACTTTTTCTTAAGCTAGTTCAGCTTAGCTTTAATTTTAAGGAATTTTAATGTTTTTATTCAGCATAGGACTAAGTTAGTAATTGAATGCAAAAAGTAGTTTGAAAAGAATATTGAAAAGATTGACATACCCAAAAACTCGTTGTTTTTTGTGAAAAATTTAAAAGGATGTCACAAATTAACTATATTCTCAACAAAATAGCTTTAAGTGTAAACTACACTTACGGATACACTACAGATTATGGATGCAAGAAAATGTTTTATCAAATTTATCTGCTCATTTTGGATGTTGAAATGCATCTTATTTTTGACCTTGAATTGAACCAAATTAGCTTCATTTGAAAAAATTCTTCATGGAAGATTGACAAATAGCAGTAAAATCACATTTTCTGTTTGATTTTCAGCGGCAAAATTTATGCTACCATTGGTCGAAACAAATGAAAAGGACAGACATGCTATAATGAAATTTCAATGGCACCTACGTTTTTGCATGGTCTATCAAGAAATGGGAAAGATTTAAATGCAAAGTTATTTATGTTTAATTCTTTCTTCTTATACTCCCATAATTTCGACTGCAATATATAAATATATATTACCGTTCAATCAGCGTTTGAACAGCATTTACCGGTCTTCAAAAAAGAACAAATAGCAAAAGTTAGGAAAAATATTAGAGGTAGAAATAAAAAGGTGTTTATTACTTAATGGGGGAGTAAGGAATGAAGCGGATAATTCAAAGGCGTTTGGATTAGGTGTATCTCCCTGTCCTGATACATTGCTAGGGGGTTGGAAAATTCAGATAAAAACATACCATTTTCATCGGAAATAAATTTGATGTTCTCCAAAGGTGAGATAACGCTGATGCATCGCAACTTTGATGTGCTCCTTTTCATCTTTTATTGTTTACTCTAATTATTATTGCTTGTGTTCGTAGTCTCTTACCTGAAACTACCTCTGCGATTTAATCACCATTTCACAAAAAATTCACAGAAAAATTATATTCCTTTTTTTAAAGTGCAAGTAAAGTACAACACCATTTTATAAGTTGACAGCAACGAAATTTATAGGCATTCATTTACCTTCATGATATGGTCCTATTTTTCAAGGTATATATATTTTTTGAAATTTGAGCTTTTGATTTCAATCAGTTGGAGTAATAGAAAACTGCATTTGGGTATTTTTCCACTTCAACTTTCATACTTCTTGAGAAAATATTTTCACACCATGATAGCTTTTAATGCCAAATTACTTCCAGTTTGGTGGTTAAGTAGAAATAACTGTATAGCATTGGCTTTATTTATAATATTACCCTGCGCACTTCATCGTATGAACCGACTTTAAAAATGGGGCTGTGCAAATTTTGTATTTCAATGGCCTGCGGTGACCTGACAATTAGTTTGAATTTGGGCCACTTCACCCCCAAAGAAACGAAGACAGGCTAACCTGAAATAGTACATAATCGGAACATCTGGTTCACGGCTCTTTATATCATCACTTGACATTTATGTTAACTTTTCTTGTTGTTTCAGATAATAATCAGCCTATATTTCAGCCTTTAATTTGACCACACTCGATAACAGACCTCAATTTATACGAAAAATAAGATTATACTCATCTGAAAAGTTTCGAAAAAGTTTATCTGAAAAATCCGATTATTTATGTTTGGCGTCTCGGGTACTGCAAATGTAAGTGATTCAAGAATTTGATGGCTTGTAATTTGTGTTACGTCCACACTCGTTGACTAACACCATGAAAGCACTTAGAGAACAATTGAGTCTTCATATTAAAGCATTTACAGTCATATGTCTAACATTTTTCATTTGAGAAAAGCTAGCAGCATTTTTTTGCTATTCATACTACACTGCTGATTTAAACTATCCGGACAAAACGAAAGAAACTTGAAATATAAAACGCTCTTTCTCAAAGTGGGTTAATTTTAGACAAAAATGATAAAAATCAACATTGCTTAAGACTTCAATGGAAAAAATTTGGTGCATTTGTTTTCAAAACATGAGCCTAAAAATTCACCCCCCCCCCCAAAAAAAAAACGATCATTTTTGGCTTTTCTTGTCAATCAAAAATTAATCCAAACATATTTGCTCATTTACTGACATCACTATGTTAAAATTAAAAAATGTTAATAAATTAAAAATATTCAGCAATCATAGTAAAAGTGGCAATTTGAACTAAAGATTTTTCAGTAAAGTAACTATAAAAACAAAAAATCATAAAAAAGAATTATAAAAATCAAAATGGCGCCACGAAAACTTCAAAATTAATTTTTCTGGAGTAATATTGAATTTTTAGGGCTTGAATAAAATCATCACGGCTCAAATTTTTTATATAAAAGGCCTGCTTGCTCGCTTTATTACCTCAAGGTTAGACTAAAATCAAAAAATTCTCACCGGCTTTTCTCGATAGTGGGTCAATTTTTTTAAATAATTTTAATGTCATTCGATTTATGACTTCAATATGGATGGATTTCAATAGGATAAATTACTTGAACCAATCTGATATTTTTTTGATTTTGCGTGGAAAACAAAAAAAAGCCTGAAACACTCGCTGATACAAAATTTTTCTCCAGAACATTTTTTGACAAATATCGTTTGAATCGCGAAGCTACAACGTACTAACAAATTTTTTGTCATTCGTTTGTACACTTTTCAAACAATTTAATGCGTCATTTATCAAAAAAATAGCTGTAAAAATTAATAATTTCGGAGAAAGCGAAAAATTAAATCATGATTGAATCTTTTTGTTCATTTCATCGGAACCAACACTAACCAATTCAACTTCTCTGTCAAGTTAATTTCAACTTCTCTGTCAAAAAGTTAATTTCAAATTTTTGAAAAAATTTATGAAATTAATAACTTTTCTGCTGCAATTTAATCCCTCTGAAAAAAATCTGTTTTTTGTTCTAAAGTTTTTCCAGCAATGACAGCAGTCCAACCAATTACTAATTTAAGTTGGTTTTTTAATTCATTTTTTTAGATTGAATCGGCTTTTTAATATCATAAGCTCAATTTGTAAATTATTTTTATTTCGAAATTTTTTTTTAAAATCTATGAAAATTTTAAAATCTACCAAAGATTTTTGTAGAAAAAAAACCTTTTCATTCATAATTGGTTTGATAAAAAAACTGTCTGGCTAATTGTCCATTGCAACAAAAATCAAACGCAAGATAAAGAAAACAATCTGCAAATGATGCAACATTAAAAAAAGTTAGTAGAAACTCTCAAACAGCTTTCCAAACAGATTTCTAGTATAAAATTTCTGGTAATAAAGCGCATTTGATGCCAACACAAAAATCAGTTGTCTTGATGGGATGTATGTACACGATCAAAAAATTCTCAAAGAGCTTTAATGCTTATAGCCTTTAGGGTTTCAGGGCGGCCCAGTAAATGTAAAAAACGGATAAAAAATACACTAACCAGCATAATTTGTCCATAAATTTTTTCGAAAGTTGGAACAGTAAACTATTTTTATACCCTTTGGTTGTAATATCTAATTCTTGAGTTCACGCCAAAACAAGGCAGCTCATATATCAAGGCAAAACTCTGAATTTTTGAATGTTCCCGCTGTTTTTTAATCGTATCGAACAGTTCATACTAAAAACTATTGCAAGACCCTTAATTTTGGGCAACATCGAACATCTATAGAAAATTAGCTTCACACGAAATTAATACGACCAATTAGCTTTCCCTCAATTCAATTTGAATGGAGCGGAAGAATTCTGTATAGTTCGTCACCGCACTCGGTATACTTCGAATGCGGTATATTTCATCACCTGTAAATAATACGCAAAACACTTTCGGCATCATCGAATGGCCTAACAGACCATTTTTTATATCCAGGTCATTACAAAACAATAAATAGAAGAATATGTTTGAACTTGAAAATGGGGAGCTGGTATTTGGGTATGAGAAATTTGGTTGAAATTTTTAATTTAGATGACCGAATTTTGATTGAATAAAAAAACCACAACAAGCATAAATTATTTGTCACTCTTTTTGAATGGCGGACCAAAAAGTTTATGATCTGTTTTTCAGAACAGCAGTTCTCTTATGTGTTGTCTACAAAAAGAATATATTTGGGTTCTAAAAACTATTAATAAGACCCAAAACAAAAACCGCATCTGGAGATAAGCCACAATTTACAAGCAACATCTCATTCTTTAAACGACAAACGTGTTTGTGCATTTAATAGTAGCCGCGAAAAAACTGCTTTGATTTTGCGCGGTTTATTCTTTGTTGTTACAGCTATAAAAAATGAAACTTTTTCTGAGGTGCAAGCCCGTACCAAAATTTTTACTATATACAAGTTTTCAGAATCTGTGCGATGTAATCAATTTTCAGCATCTGGGCGATAAAGTTTTCAGTTCTCAAGTGCTCGGTGTGGTTTTTTCTCTATACTTGTTCCGACTTTTAAAGTAGCATTTTTTGAAAAAATTTTCATCTTACATCTGGAACCGTTTGTTGATGTCCTCTCAAAATTGATAAGAGAATTATATGTAATCTTTTCGTGCCTCAAATTGTGGAGCTTTGAAATTTGCGCATGTGGCCAATTTGGGATAAATAATTTGCTATTTTTAGCAATTTTTATTTACCAAATTTTCCTGATCAGACTTAACTCAAAAATGAATTGAGGCACGCTATTTGTTCGAAACACTGTGTTACTAGATGAGAAACATGCCACATTCTACTTTTTGATACCTGTGGGGTAAAAATTTCATTTTTTTTCAATAGCATTTTTTTTTTCAATTTATTTTTTAACTGAAAATTATTCATTAATGTGGGCAAGATAATCAATCGCCAAAACGGTCAAATTTTAGCCCCCAAACGAGCAGTTTTGCTGGTTTTGATGTTACGTCTCTATTGTGGGTTTTGAAAATTGGGTTTGCTTAGAATTTAGCGACTAAAATCGATTGTTTCTGGACAGTCGCGACCAAAGTTCCAGTTTTTACAGATCAAGTGGATGTTTCCGTGACCAATGCGAACCTAGAAATTGGTTGAGGCAATTAGTTTTATGCTATTAAAAGTTTTTTTGCAAGCAAGTGACAAAGCTTCGCTTCTGAAGAGGTTTCATTTTTAGCCATATCAACTATAGGTTTCAGATGTGTTCTTTTTTGTGCTCTGTTTTTCTTAATTTTCTGACATTTGAAGCTTGGTCATTGTGATATCAAGTCTTCGAAAATTTTTGTCGCGCAATTACCGTCGGCGCAACTTTGTTATTCTAAGAAAAAATCGCGACCTGGGTCCGCGTTGTTATTTACAGTGAAAGAGGTTCAAAAGGACTCATCCCCAACCAAACTGGTTCAGAGGACTCGGTTTCTTTGGAGTTCATTTCAATTACGGGTTAAATTGGGGTGGCTCTGGGAATGGGCGATCAAATGCATGTGAAACCTGTAATCCCCGGGAACCGCTCAACTTGTTTTTAATGCAATAAAATTTTAATCGCCCTAAATCCTAAAAGGTTTCTGCGTTGTTTGCGTCACTAGTCATAGCTATAAAACAACTTCCTCTAAATTGTCTTTCATACCCCATAAAACGACCTGAAACATGTCGGTGTATTATTCTGCTAATCCCCAAATGCCTTTGAAATTCATAATTTACTCTGTTTCTTTGCATATCATTTCGTAAACACTTCACATGCCAAATTCAATTAACCATTTTAAGCTCAACTTTCGGTTAAATATGGGTTATTTTTTTAGTCAATTGATCTAAAAATACGAAGAGAGTAGTTGCTGTGAGAATAGTAAGGGTCAAACAAGCAGTTCGAATCGCAGGTAGATTTCGGCAATTTTAAACTTCGGCCACCAGACATGTCTGCTTTAGGATACACCAGCGTTTGACCGTCGCCGCCTCTAGATTTTCCTCTTGTTCGCTTGGACGTTTTTATGTCAAACTTTTAATAGTTGACAACCTGTCTGGCGAATTTGAGCAAACTTTCGACAAATTTATTTGTTTTCCGGTTACTTTGCGCATGGCTATCAAACTTGTCGTTATTACTGGGACTGGAACCAAAACTTAACCTAAAATCCAACCCAAAATAACCCAAGCTTACCTTGAACGCTAGATATCCAGCATAAATATCATGCTTTCAACTAATAACAGAATTTAACTTAACCGCAGTAGTTTTTTTGTAAGATTAGATTTCACATGTCAAAATCCGGCTGAAACCTTTTGTGAAATATATGCAACCTGTTTGCGTCAATTTTGTAAATACATCAGTTTCTTAGAACGGGAACAAGAAATGGTGGGTTATACGGTTGAGTGGGAGGTGAATTTTTAATAAAGGTACAAAACTGATATTTTTGTGCAATGTTATTTCTCCCAAATCCCAATCTTGCTAAAAGGAAGGTTGGTCTGACGAATAGTTGTAACTAACAAGCTAGGAGAGAGTTGAGCAAGCGCCCGGGTTATTATTGGGGGCCACTTTCAAAGATAGAGAGCCCTTTCGACCATACACATACCGCCGTTAATTGATTTATGTGCATACGAACCCAACCCGTTGCCCCCGTTGCTTTCAATTTTTTCCGTCCTACTAAAAGCCAGGTTAGGCTCTGCTGATTAAGCAGTTAACTATCGGCTTAGCGTCAATCAGCCCAAATTTGTTCAAACCATTTGCTTTTAATTTTCAGTTTGCTTTCGCTACTGGTACATATCGACTCAAAGACAGGTCAAATAGTTTTGAAGTTTTGTTACTTTCAAAAACTGAAATGGATCACTTGAAACAAATTTTTCAAGCTTTCAAATTGCTTGAACGAAAGTTGACAACATAATTCATGGAGTTTTTTGCACTTCAAAGTTTGTGCAAAATGTAATATGTCGCTCAAAGTGTGAAATTAAAGAGGCTAGCATTGATTTTCTTTTCATGCGGTGTACAAAGTGATCCTTTGATTTGTACCAGGGAGCATAATCTGTCAAAATTGTCCAAAATTATGTTTAGAACCTGTCACCAATAGGATGAATCGGGAAGTACATTTCAGAGCAAAACTGGAATTACAGCAGCCAGTTATAACCAGAACCAACCTTTATTATAACCAGTTAATATTCTGGTTCACTCGACGCTGAACCCTCAAAATGTGCAAAAATACAAATGGATTCAAAGTGGCTGTGACTGTGTTTCCATTTTACTACGCGCTTCTTAGGTCAATCTGTCTCGTTGTTTGTCCTATTTAGCCCGATTATTCATTACGATCCCCATGATTGTTGATTGCGAGTTCAAATTGCCCAAAGTATCCAAAGTGTCAGCAAGATAGTTAGCCCAAATGTAAACACACCTGTGTTATAATGCAGACATTGGTCCAGATATATCGCTACCTGCAGTTATTACTGTTTTCAAAGTGACAGGACCAGAAGGTCGAAGTTTCAGTTTCAAAAGTTGCTCTTCCTAATTATCTGCACTTGTTTTGAATAAAGAAACTTGTTAGAAAACTCTCCTTCAATTTTCTTCACCCTCTGAACACTGATCAATAAATGTAGTTCGAATTTTACCGTCTGATCAAAGCTGACAGAAAAAATTATTAAGTTTAATTTTTGGCATTTTTCAATCAACCAATTACGTATTTCATTGTTATCCTAATTGGGCGAATTATTCATCAAAAACCCTAAAAGTTTCCCTAATTTTATCAATTCTAGCAACGTTAAAGCAGAACAAAGTTTTCATTTGATAAAACAGAAAGACTTTTACTCGGATGAAAGGATACGCCTGGAACAGTTGACCAGTCAAAGTTGATTTCACTCAATTGACAGATGACCATTGAAAAGTGATTCACTGTAGCGGATCCAATTTTTCTGTTATGATAACATTTACACCAGACGATGACATTAAATTCTTCTCTGATCGTCTTAATTACGAATACGACAACAAAAAACAAGTGCGACGACAATCATCATCAGCTGTGCAAAGTTGTCCGACAGGTGCAAGATCAATCTATTCTCTTGTCCGACAGGTAAAAAGTTCAACGGCTCGATTGAAACTTAAGCCGAGAAATAATATTATGATCTTTCCGATGAACATTCTCTTATGATGAACTTCCGTCATTTGGTAAATATGCTACATTAAATTCAAAAATTTAAATTAAGAAAAAAAATATTTTTTTTAAAAAGAAAATTGCTAATTATAAGTAGGAATCTTTTTTTTTTTTTACAAATTATAAAGTTTTCTAAGGAATTCTTTTTTACAAAGTGTGATAAAAAATAGTACGCAACTTCAATTCGGCAATGTATAAGGCTTCGATCCGCTGAACAATCACACTAACAGGCTTCGACTATCTAAACTGCATCATATCATCAAACAAGCTCTGCTTACTACTTCTGAGGCAGAGGAGAAGAAATCATTATCGAACTTTGACCCAGACCAAATTGCAGCCTTTGACCTTGGCCTCTATTTACTGGGAATTAATGGAATCAGCAGTGACGAGAGGTCAAAATAGACCTTCGAAAAATCAGCAGAATCAGAATCAGGACAGCGAACAATCAAGGTTTGGCGCCAAAAGAGGAAACAAATATAGTGCTTCGACTGTGATTACTCTGGGACTTCTTCAAACCCTACTCTTCATATCATCAATCACAGGTTAGTCAAAGTCCAAACCCGCCCTCAATGCAGTTTGTTGATTAAGCTGTTTCCCATTATAGCCCAACTATAGCAAATTAAGGTAGCAGGACATTTTGGTTAGGGATCTTAAGCTAAAGGAGTCTTTTGTCATATAACCGTAACATACATGTCAAAAAATAATAATTTATAGCGTAAGTTTTATGACTTTTCGTTACTTTCTCCTTGACTATGATGGGAAATAGTTGTTAACTATTAATTAAATTATAATATCTACCTGCAAAGTGAATCGAATCTTTCAAATAGGTAAGTCTAATTTTACAGAATCCAGTGATGCATTATTTGTTTAAGCCAACGCTATCTAGAATCGACACATTTTTGTCAGAAGTTCACCTATTTATAAACCTTCATAATCAGTTGCTTCATATTCATAATGCGGTTTTTATGTTGTATGATTTTTTCTCAGCATTAGTTTTTCAACTGTTTTGCAATCTACAAACCCTCAGAAAGTGTGGGGTGCAGAGACTTTGTTCCAGACAATGTTCCAAGAAACTGAGCCTCAGAAATCATTGTCCGAAAAGTTGATCTCACTCTAGACGTTTCTGCTCAGGACAAAGAAGTCGGATTGTTGTTTTTTTTTTCTAGTTTTTTTTTCAATTTAACGTCTAACTTCATTTGAAGTCACTTATTATTTATTGTGCTGAGCTACAGTTTGGACGCGTAGACACGCCGACACGGTGTTTATAAAACGGAAAATTAGAGAACTCAAAGGTCTGGGGATGTTTTGTCTGGCTATTTTACTGTCGGCCTGGCACAATTGTCTTTGGGATTCAAATGCCCAGACACCATTAGAGTATGTTTACAAAGTTCACTGCAAGTTTACCCTCTGAGTTATTTACTTTGAAGCCTTAGTAGCTTCCATAGATACCATTTTTATCCTGCTCTGCTGTGTAGCAGCGTATTGAAATGAACTGAGTGTGTGACTGGCTAATTTATTCACAATCTGATCACTTAATGTCACCAGAAATGAGGAAAGGAATTCGGTTATTTCACGCTTCCAAATTTTTCGTTTTTTCAACCAAAAGTGCAATGCGCTTGATGCTTATTCAATTATCAAAACTTATTTTAGGGTTTAGATATCGACAAATTTCGTGTAATGCTGTGTAATCATATCGACATCAAAGCCATTTAATTTCATCACATAGATTTTCATTTTGTTAATGCCTGACCGCTAAGGAAACAAATTTCAAGTATATAAAGAAGGCTGATTCAAGTATATAAAGAAGGCGAGGCCATGAAAGCTCCGACGTAATTAAAGGGTAATCGAACTAAATTAAAGCTAAATATTTGGATAATATTTTATGAAAAACCATGATAAAAAATAAATAAGAAAAAAGAACAAGACTGCTCATATCAGCGCGAAGCCTTGAATGTTCCGACTGACTTAAAGGTTTATGGAGCAGCAATAACATAAAAAAACTATATGTAAAAAAATAAAACCAAAATTTTTTTTTTCTAAAATTTGAAATTTTTATGAAAATCATCCCCCACACGTCATATAAAACACAGAAGGATAAGTTTCGCTCCTTGTAACAAATCATATGGCAAATAAGCTTCTTTTAACCAATTTGGAACGATTTCTAAGACGGATTAAATCTCTGCTTACGCATTAATAGCGCGAAATATATCGCGCGTAAATTATCCAAAATTGGCCAAAATGGTTATCTTTAAACCCTAATAATTTTACGAAAAATGATCACAGGTGTAATATCTTTTTAAATTTAAGCTCAGGATAACAATACCATTTGAATGATATTAAAAAATTCCGTCAAAAATGGCTATTTAAAAAGTCAAAATTTGTCTGAAGAAAAAAATCCATCCCGAGCACAAATTTTCCGTTACGTCCGTATCGAAAGTCGGAACAATAAAAAAATGAAAAAGCTTGAATGAGATTATTTAAAAAAAATTATCACTCACGCTCAAAGTGATCTGTTTCGCATCTTTTGGCTAATGAGTTGGATGAATTACTCAGTTTGAAATACTTGCTGAGCTAGGTTATCTCGCCGCGCTTGCAGTGCACTAACTTGAAACTAATTAGCTCACGCGCTTCAGTTATGCCAAACTGAACAAACTTCAAGCACCTATAAAAACCATCGCGAAAAATTGTTGTAGTTTGCTTTCAAGACATTAGTACTTTTTGGATGAAATAGTGAAAAATTTTCAGAAGTAAATGTTCAAAGTGTCGAAATTGACCGGAATAAAAAAACCACCCCAAGCACGAAGACTCGAAAGTTGGAAAAACGTGTTTGATTGTTCTGCTTGTCTTTTAGATTTCCTAAGATGCTTTTTTGAAAAAAAAATGTTAAATTTCATCGTCTTTTACGCAATGTCAACAAGTACTGTGCGACAAAAATTGCGTCATCTGATGGATTAATGGAACAAATAGCCTACATCAATTTGATCGGGCTTCATTTTTGAGCTGTATTAGATAATCAAAAAGCCAAATTGACAATGTTTAAATCCACGTCTTTTTGAGACAAATGATCACACGTGAAAAGTTTGACGGTCCGACTTTCGGAGAAAAAAGAAAAAATTCTGCTTGCGGAGGTTTTTTCTTCAGTTTTAACCTGACCTTTAAAGTTATATTTTTGACGGTTTTTTCAAAATTCTGTCTGTAAAATACTGGGGTTTGTTGTTCAAAAGTAAACAAGAAAGATGTTTTGTGACCCATTTACAATAAAATATATTATGGTTTGCAAATGAAAATTTGCCTAAAATGGGATAATTAACGCGCTTCATATTGCGTAATTAAGGCATAAGCTTCGAATATATCCGGCAGAGTACTAATTCCAAATGAATCGAGGCGAATTCATTTTATCATATTGAAAATAGTTCACTTTATTTTTTCTGTTGCGTTGGTTTGTGTGTAAAATTGTGTGGGGGAGATGAAATTTGTTTTATATACTTTCAAACTGTTCTTCCAAAATTTTCATCAATTTTATAAACAAAAAACTTTTTAGAGACATTGAAGGGCAGCAAAAATTGAAGACTTTGCTCTGATACGAGCAGTCTTGATTCAATTTGAAAGTTTAAGCACAATGAAATTTTTCTATTTTCAAGTAAAGAATATGTGGAATTAATTTCTCGGACACCATGCAAAAAAAATTTGGTTAAATCCATTTTTTCTGTAAAAGTCAAACTGTGGCGTTACAAGAAAGTTTTAGGGTCTAGATTTTGAATCAGGTAAAGAATATATATTAAGCTTGAGTGCTTGAAGATTTAATGTATAGAAAGCGATTTCATCCACAGTCGCTGTTGATAAATTGGTAGACTCTTTAGACAACGCTTCATACGTTACATAGCGCGAGGGTGAATATTAAAAAAACTGAAATTTTTAATCTAATTTTGAGAACATTGTCTATTTTAATATATTAAACTGGAAAATTTATCACACAGAAGGAGCAGTCTTAGTAAGTATTATGCTGATTTTAAGATATTTCGAGATAATTTTTGGTGTTTCAATTTTGCGCTGGTTGTTTACGTTTGTTCTTTCGATATACGTCATATCTTAAAATTTTGAGCGTGTCAATGTTATGGTATAAGATTCATTATTTGAGCCCGAAGAGATTAGTGAAAAAGGATCTACCAGATAATTCTGGTACACAATTAGGTTTGCCCAAGTCTACCAATTTAATGCTCAACCCTGTAAGAATTAAGTTAGACTTTATTAACTGCGACTTGAAATTGAATACAAAATGCAATATTCCTCTACGCCCCCGATCTAGTCACTCAAAAAGGTTGGTTCCCAATTAGCAAACAAAATGGTACATTGTGCAGACGTCGACATTGGGTACTACGTATAGCTCGATCTAATAAGAAAAATATTATCAACAGTATGAACACAAATTTTCGTCCCATTTATGTCATGTTAAATAGTATGACCTAAAATAATTTAAGAAAGTAACTCTTCAGCCAACCTAATTTTTGAATGAGTTTGACGTAGTTTGATTCTAAGTCGTAATGAAATGCGTATGAAATAAAACAATGGAAATTGAAACCACTTCCCTGAAATATTCTAGTTCATATTCCAGTGATTTAGGGTTACTTTATTGACTTCTAATCTTATCAGAAGGGTAATATTACCTGAAGGAAGATATATTGGTCTAGACGAATCTCCTTCACAATTTGTATTTATTTGAACACTTTCCCTCGCCACATTTCCGGTTATCATTTACCTGTTTTTACGATTTCACACTATTTCAAAGCGCCATGTTTTATTTATAAGGGGGCGAAAATGAATTGTAATTAGGGTTATAATGAGTTTTAGTGCTTTTTAAATGCAGTTATCTCAAAGGGAGACACCTACTAAATTTCTATTTTTGTTCCGACTTTCGATACGAAAGTAACGGAATATTTGTGCTCGGGGTGGGTTTTTTTTTTCTTCAGACAAATTTCGACTTTTTAACTAGCCATTTTTGACGGAATTTTTTTTATATCATTCGAAAGGTATTGTTGTCCTGAGCTCAAATTTGAAAAGATATTTTACCTGTGATCATTTTTCGTAAAGTTATGGGGGTTTAAATATTGCCAATTTGGGATAATTAACGCGCGATATATTTCGCGCTATTAACGCATAAGCGGAGAGTTAATCCGTCTTAGAAATCGTTCCAAATTGGTTAAAAGAAGCTTATTCGCCATAATTGGTTTGTTACAAGGAGCAAAATCTATCCTTTTGTACTTTGTATGGCGTGTGGGGGGATGATTTTCATAAAAAATTTCAAATTTTAGAAAAAAAAAAGTTTTCATTTTATTTTTTCTTACATTTAATTTTTCAATGTTATTACTGCTCCATAAACCTTAAAAGGCAGTTGGAACATTCAGGGCTTCGCCCTGATACGAGCAGTCTTGTTTAGTTTTCAGTCTAAATTAGTCTTCTTTGAGTGTGAAGATTTACCGCATCAATAAGCACAACAGGAACGTGTCAGAACTTATTTTGAGTTGGCCGAAATATATCCCAAATC